CCCTGCGGTCGGCGGTGGCCACGAGCGAGCCCTCGCGCCGCTGCTTGTTCTTGTTCTTGATGGGATGGTTGGAGGCACCTTCACCGGTGTCCTCGTCAAATTTCACCTTGCCCTTGAGGTGGTCGAAGATCGCTCCGACTACCTCTGCGCTTGAGGCGTGGCTGGTGGTGATGTGAAGGATCTCCTTGGTGGTTCACAGGCCCTTATGTCCTAGCTTGTGAACTAGGGACTCACAGGTGGTCCTAGACAGGAAAACTCCTATAACGTCAGCATCGATGACATTAGGTAGCTCGTTGCACTACCGAGAGAAGCGATGGATGTACCCACGGAGGGTTTCTCTGGCCTTCTATCGGTAGTTCTTGAGATCCCATGGGTTCCTAGGGCGCTTGTATGTGCCCTGGAAATTCACCACGAAGATCTCCTACAGGTCCGCCCAACTTTGGATTTTGTTTCCCTCCAAGAACAATGGAAAGTTGCAGATAATAAAATCATCATTATCCACTCCACCAGCTTGGTAGGCAAGCCAATAATCCTCGAGCACAGTCCAAGGTTTATTTCCCTAGAGTATTTTGGGATATTGGTTGGTGGCCGGTACCTTGGCGGGAAGGCAACGTTGAGGATGTGTCGACCGAAGGCCTGAGGCCTCGGCAGGCCAGGGCTCGGGCTTCGGTCCTCGCTGCTGTTGTAGCGTCCACCACAACGAGGGTGATAGCTATGGCTAGCTTCTTCTCTTGGGTCGTTATGGGTACGTCTGCGGGTGTCGAGGGTGTCACGTGCGTCACAGTTGCGACCGAGATGCTGATGCACCGGGATCGTGGTGCGCTGTCTACCGCCTTGTGGCACCTGGTGGACTGACACGTCCTTGCTGGGGCGCTCTGAAGGCATGCGCTAGCTGGCGTCAAACTCGTGTTGCCGAGACAACTAGCTCTTGGCCTGCTGCGCCGCCACACGCTCGAGCAGCATGCGAATCTCGCGGTGGGGCCAATGATCCTCGGGCATCGCGGGCCTCGGAAGCCCATGGAGCAAAGCCACCGCAACAGCGATGTTCTGGCTCACCCAGGCGAAGTGTGGGAGGGCTTGATCGTCCGCAATGATCCTCCAGTTCATGTCGTGGGCCATGGCGCGTGCGCGTCTACCGTCTCTGTGGCGCTCGATCTCTCGATCGAGCTCCGCACGTTGCTGCTCGAGCTGGAGTCGTGCTTCCTCGAGCTCTTGGTGTCGGGCCTTCAGCTGCTCCACCCACATGCAAGGTGGGGCCACTGTCTCCCCCTCGACCTTGTCATCGAGGTCATTCATCGGGGTAGCCTCCTCCTCTTGGATGCTTTTGACGTGTCCCTTGGGGGCACCCATCATGAAGCACTCACGAGAGGGGTGATGGCTCCCTCTGCTGGAGTCAGTGCCGGAGGGTGACTCCGATTCGCCTGTGAGTAGGTCGTGGAAAGACTCCGCGACATATTCGGTCATCCCCACGAACCCGTCGTTTGCGGGGGATGGAGGCGCTTGTTGCGCCATAGATTGGTTGTCGGTCTCTGCAGCGTTGCGGAGACCGAACGGGAGCGCTGTCGAGGCGCTCCGTATGAGGTATTCTGGAGAGAGTGGCTCCCTGCTAGCGAGCTGTGCCATGAAGTTGGCGAACAAGAAGGTGAGGTGGCACAGGTCCTCCCGGGACGGCCGGGGTCCCAGGACGACGCCGAGCTAGCGCTCAAGCCTCCTGTGGTCGAAGTTGAGGAGCTAGTCGTTTCGGGGGGTGCGGGCCTCCGGGCCGTGCTGCTGCAGCTCCTCAAGCGCCTCGGCGATTGCGTCAAGGCCGGCGGAGTGGAGAGGTCGGATGGCGGCGGGAGCCATTGCCAACTCTCCCTCCGCTGTGACAATGAAGTCCAGGTCCCCGAAGCGCATGTGCGCGTCCAGGACCCAGCTGAGGTTGTGATTAGCCATCCAAGGCCTGGTGTTGATGTTGAGACGCGCAAAGGCCTCTACCTAGCGCGCCAACTGTCGGTGTTTCAAGCAAACACCAACGAGTAGATTTCCAATATTGTGCGTCTGGCTCGGATGGTGTGCTAAGAGGACACGAGGTTTATACTGGTTCGGGCGGAATGTCCCTACGTCCAGTTCGTTGCGGCTACTCGTGTTACTAGCACTGAAAAGTTTGTAGTAGGGGTTACAAACGGGCGAGAGAGGGACAGGTCCCAAGTCTCTGGTCGAAAGAACGAATGGGTACCGAGAGCTCGGTCGCTGCTCGGCTATGTGTTCGAGGTTTGATGCTAGTGGTCTTGATCTGATGCCGTTTATTGGGGTGCCATGCTTTCCCTATTATAGGCCAGGGAAAGCACGGGTTACAACGGGAGAATGAGAGAGAGAAAGAAAGTCGTTCAGGGTCACCGGGGCTTTGTTTTCCTTTGCGCGAGTCCCGTTGACATGGCTGGTGGTGATAGGGATAGCTCCATGCCGAGCGCCTGTCCACCGATGATGCCATGCCCTCGCGTTGTCAGCGGGTCATGATGTCCCACTCCGCCCCGGCGGGCGGCACGGCGAACCAGCGTGCTGATCAGCGGCCGTACAGGGAGTAGGCAACATAGTGACCACACGTTTGTCACTGTGGGCGATGTGAGTTCCTTGGAATGACATGTTGCAGGGATGGGTCGTGTTGAGACATGACCTCTCCCTGCAAGATGCTAGAAGTTTGACCTTGAGTTATACTTTCTGGCCCATAGTGGTTGGCGGCGGCGTGAGCTTCTGTTAGGAGCCGTGCCCGAGGGATTGGGCGAGGCGGAACCAGCCCTCAGACGTTGGGTAAGGCGGAGCCAGCCCTCAGATGTCGGGCGATGCGGAGCCCACCCTCGAGGGTCGGGCGAGGCGGAGCCTGCCCTTTAGACGTCGAGCGAGGCGGAGCCCACCCTCGGGGGTCAGGCGAGGCGGAACCAACCCTCAGGGGTCGGCCAAGGCGGAGCCAACCCTCAGGAGTCAGTCGAGGCAGAGCCAACCCTCAGGGGTCGAACGAGGCGGAGTCAACCCTCTGGAGTCAGCCAAGGCGGAGCCAACCCTCGGGGATCAGCCAAGGCGGAGCCAACCCTCGGGGGTCAGATGAGGTGGAGCCCGCGACCTCGGTGGTCGTACAAGGCGGAGCCCGCGGCCTCGGTGGTCGGACGAGGCGGAGCCCAGCAAGAGGTGTAGTCGCGCTCTTGACCGCTCGGATGGATCAACGTTGATGATTATTAGCCCCTCCTCTTCGGGTACCATAGTATTGGTCCCCGACAGTATGCAGGTATGTTTTCAAATGGCATGCAAGCAACTTTGACCTAAATTGTGTGTTTGGCCCTTTATGAAGGATAATGGGACGGAACGATCCGCTTTTTGATATTGTTTGTTTATGAGATTAGTGGAGCAGAGTCCAACTCCTTTGATGAATATTACGGAATATTTCTTAATATAGAGGACGTCCCCATCCATCAAAAACAAGGGGATGGTGAGATTTCTTAATATAGAGGACAACCCTATATCCATAAAAAAACAAGGGGACGGTGAAAGCCGAGAGAATGACAATCGAGACCCACATGCTAGCTTATTCTATATTTTGATGCCCTAAAACCAGACATAGGATAGGGACGGTTCCATACCCTGCAACAGACGACCCCGTAGGGATAAAACCATTCAATCTCTGATTGCCTCACAACCAAACGCACACAAAGAAACACATTGTTTGAAATGCACACATTTTATAGGAATCATATAGAAATTTCAGAGGTATTGATTCATTTTTGACAAACAAGAACTCACATTCCAAACAGAGCTAGATTTAGAAAAAAAGTCAATTTGTCTTGAATTTAACTAAACTAAAAGAAAATACTATCAACATTTATGTTACCAAATATGTTTTCACTAAGAAAATATATTCCACGATTAATTTAATGATGCGTATTCATTGTTATAAATCTCCATACTTTTACATGTAAATTTGATGAAAAATAACATTGTTCAACTTCTGACAAAATTATATTCTTTCTAGATAAGGGAGTTTATATAGTAACCAGGTGATTAATTTTTCCCAAAGCCTATGTAATATTACCTACTCCCTTCACTCCAAATTATGAGACGGCTTGATTTTTTTTATATATATAGTTTGTTACATACACTTACATATACACTATGTTCAGGTATAAGAAGAATAATATATCTAGAAAAATAAAAATATTTTATAATTTGAAAGGTAGGGAGTAATAGAAAAGAAGGCATTGCATTAGCGTGCATTTCAGGCTCCCCTCACCTGATAGGAATCGCAACAAAGGTATAACGTGGACTAGCCGGCTAGCTAGGATCACGAGAAAAAAATAGGAAGCATGCCTCTGGCACGCCCAAGGCGGGTTTCGTTTGGGAGAAAATTGTTTCCATGCCATTGAAACTTATACTCGTTTGTTATGTGCCTTTGAAAAATATATGTTCTCTTCTGTGCCATTAGTTTGGATTTTCTCTTTCTTGGCTGCCATTGCCGTTAGATGCCGTGAAAAATTTCCGTTACTACCACCTGCTTGGTTCCATCCGCGTAACGTCCGTGCCCATATCGCTGCAAGCGATCCTTTTATTTTATTAAGAAGGAAAAAGAAAAAAAACTAAATCGCAAGCCGAGGGCCTCTTCTAGTGTCTCACAGTCCTAGCACACTCCTGCCGTGCGCCACGGCCCTCCCACCGTCTCATGCCGCATCTCTCTAGCAGGCTCCCGTGCCGTGCCGTCGAGGAACTTGGTGAACATGCCACGACGGTTGATCGAGTAGTCATGGTACGCACGCCCGCAGCCCGCATGCTCGCCGCGCATTGCGGCCACCGCGGCGAGCGCCTCGGAATCGAGCACCCAGCCAGCCACGCCATCCCGTCCTGCGGTCAGGCGTCGATCGCTCGCGCATGGTGACCTGCGGCTCCTGCGCCCCACAGTGACCGCATCGCCGCCGGCACGCCTCCTACCATCCTCGTGTACCAAGGATGTGTCGGCCACGTTCGTTCGCAAATTCATGGCTCCTGGGAGGGACCGAGCGAGGGAGACCACCATCCCGGAGGCGCCGCCCAACCTGGACTATTCCATCGCGCTGGAGTACGATGGGCCGGACGTCTCGTACGCCCCGCCATACCCACCGCCGAGCCAGTCTCGGGGCCGCTGGGGCTCGGCCTCGGCAGCAGCGGCGTCGTGCCCGTCGCGCCCGTCATCGGCCCCGCTGCGGCCCGTGCCCCTGCCAACCCGCCGGCGCGGGGTGCGTCACGGGCTGGTGGTGCTGCTGCTCACCGTGCCGCGGCGCCGCCTGCGCGAGCGAGGAGGGGAAGCTCGCCGTCGGCCGGTTCGGCGGCGGCAGCGGCGCGGGATGAGGATGGCTGCTCCGATGACGATGAGGAGGAGGACGGCTCCCGCCCGCCGCGGAGTTCCAGGACTGCTGCGCCGGAGGGAAGGCGGCCTCCGGTGGTCACCTTTGGGGAGCCAGAGGATAGCAGGTACGAGAGCAACGACTTCAACGCGGCGTCCGCCGAGCAGTACGTCGCGGTGACGAGGCCGGCGGTCGAGAGGAAGGGGAGGAGGACCTGCTGCCACCGGTGCGGTAAGAGCAAGTGGGAGAGCAACGAAAATATGGCGGCTACGAGGAAGTGGGAGAGCAAGGAAAATATTGCAAAAGTCCAATGCCCCCGTGATACTCACTTTTGGGTTTACCATGATGGCGGCTACGAGGAAGAAGGGCAAAACAACATCAAAGGGAAAATATGGGAGTCAGTATGTATCTTGGTCAAACATTCTTTTTTTTCTCTAAACATTGTTTTTTTAAAAAATTAACGTGTATTGTCGTTTTGTTATTTTTAGCATGACTTGTTCATTCTCTTCTTTTAACAGCCTTTGGCACGTTTTGCGTGCGCCTTGGTTTCACTACCGGTGCCTCCTACAAACTTTGATGCGACAAAAGATGAAGCCCCTTATTCATCAAGAACTGTACCAGACTACTTAGATCATAAAAGAATACAAAAGCTTCTTATTCTTGGATCACCTGGAGCTGGAACAAGCACCATATTTAAGCAGGTCCCACCAAAATTTACATCCATAACGCCTTCAGTTTCCCTATATGTTTCTGCAGCGTAGTGGCAAGGTGCCACGTGACATCACTGTTCACTATTGTAGCGTACTGTAGCATTTCGTTTGTATTTGGTAATAATTGTCCAATCGTTGACTAATTAGGCTCAAAACGTTCGTCTCGCAAAGTACAACCAAACTGTGCAATTAGTTTTTGATTTCGTCAACATTTAATACTTCATGCATGTACCGCAAGTTTGATGTGACGAAAAATCTTCTTTTTACATAGTGCTAAAGTTTAGAATTTGGGGTAACTAAACAGGGCCCAAGATGTGTCGGCCACGTTCGTTAGCAAATTCATGGCTCCTGCGAGGGATAGCGCGGTGACAGAAAAAAAAACATACTAAAATTATACTACTACGAGCTAGCTAATTTAGTACCACTGCTCAGTGGATTCAAACAGGTATTAAATACTGCCGACTTATTCATCAAAAAAAATTTACTGCTCACTTCTTCTTCTTTTTTCTGAATTCTGAGAGACAGAAGAAGCACAGTCGAAAAGTGGAGGCAACAAAGCGAATCTAGTGCCTTTCGCAGATACGCCATGGCGCGTGCGCATACCAGTATACCACGCAACGCAATCGCAAGCACAGCCTTTTCGATTTTTTTTTTGGAACCCCACAACCTTTTCAAAGATTTGTTGTTCGCTGCTGACTGACCGCCGCTAGGTTGTCTTGCCTTGCCTTGCCTTGCCTTGTCTTGCCTTTCTTCTCTTTGACCCGGCCTAGCCTTGGTTCGATTGGCCGTCGTCGAGGCCACTCCATCCGGCGCTCGCCGCAGGGGGGTCGCGAATTCCCCGCCTTCTCTTCACTTACTTCCACACCTGCTGCCACTGCTGGTGCTGAAAATATCTGCCGCGGAAAAGTTGGGCCCCTCGCCTGCCGCCGATGCTGGACTAGTCACCCGCGCGCGCGCAAGATTGCTGCTGCACCGGGGCGGCCAGACAGGCAGGCATGGCGGGCGCGGCGGCGGGCCGGGCCGACTGGGAGGACCTGGTGCGCCGGATGTTCCCGCCGGGGACCACCATCCCGGAGGCGCCGCCCAACCTGGACTATTCCATCGCGCTGGAGTACGACGGGCCGGACGTCTCGTACGAGCTCCCGCGGATCGACCCCGTCTGTCTCCCCGTCATACCCACCGCCGAGCCGGTCTCGGGGCCGCTGGGGCTCGGCCTCGGCAGCAGCGGCGTCGTGCCCGTCATCGGCCCCGCTGCGGCCCGTTGGAATCGGTGGTGACCACCGAGTTCACGATCTTGGAGCTGGCTTGCAGCCGGCCCGGCTCGTTACGAGCCTGCGCTCCCACAGGTCCTAGGTCCACCGGAGCTGACAACATATAAGGCCTTCGGACCTTACTCAACCCAAAAGACTATTCTGATAGGTGAGGGTTCTCCCGCCTTATATGTTGTACTCCCCCATCATCGCTACACGATGTGGGACTAAACCCCAACAATCTCCCCCTTAGTCACATATCGGGGTGCCCCCGCCATATGTGACGATCGAGATTTTTTTTATCGGGTTTAGCTTTTTCTGACCTCTGGTACCGGCTCCGATACTCAACCCAAAAGACGCCTGATAGGTGGGGGCTTCTCCTGCCTTATATGTTGTGCTTCCCCACCATCGCTAAATGATGTGGGACTAAACCCCAACACGGCCCGTGCCCCTGCCAACCCGCCGGCGCCGGGGGCGTCAAGGGCTGGTGGTGCTGCTGCTCACCATGCCTTGCGGCGCGCTTCTTGCTGAAGCGAGAAGGGGAAGCTTCGCGCCGTCGGCCGGTTCTCAAGGGCGGCAGCGGCGCGGGATGAGGATGGCTGCTCCGATGACGATGAGGAGGAGGGCGGCTCCCGCCCGCCGGAGTTCCAGGACTGCTGCGCCGAGGGAAGGCGGCCTCCGTGGTCACCTTTGGGGAGCCGGAGGATAGCAGTGCGAGAGCAACGACTTGACGCAAGGCGTCCGCCGAAAGCGAGACGTCGCGGTGACGAGGCCGGTGGTCGAGAGGGAGGGAGGAGGACCTGCTGCCACCGGTGCGGGAAGAGCAAGGAGTCGTGCATCGCCTCACGACGCAAGCGGCCATCTGCTGACCCTTTGCCGCTCCAGCGCCATGGGGTCCATGCCCGAGGGCCGCAAGTGTGTCACACTGCATTGGCCAGCCCATCGACGAGGCCAAGCGCCCAAGCTCGGCAAAGGGCCCGGGTATGGCGGCGCTGCTCAGCCCCCTGGAGGTCAGGCAGATCCTTACCAATGTTTTCAAGTCGACCAGTTGAACCTAATCGCCATGGGACCGACCAGGAGACTAATCACGATTAGTCGTCGACTAGGCCGATTAGTAGAGCCTAGCTAGTTGACCCATGGTCGTCCTATATATCAGGACATATATACCTACTATATATACCTATATATACTATATAGTATACACAATAAAGCAAGCATCAAGACTACATTAGTGTTTAGCTAGTGACTTACTTGTGGGGGTTGTTTTCTTCTCTTTTTTGCCATGTTAAGAGGTCCATATTCCTGTCCCAAACTCCATTTCTTTGCCGACTTGCTGCTGGAAGCCTAAAATACCAAAGAAGACCATAATTAACAACACTAATGTAGTCTTGATCTTGACATGACTCAACAAAGAAAGACCTTCTTTGCATTAGCAAGCATCGTCGCAAGTAGCAAATAACTAGCATTTAGCAGTTAGCACATAGCAGACCATAGCAGCCACAAAACCAGCATATTACATAACCAAACAAGTTCAGTACACATAAGCTAAAGTGTTCAACACAGAGTCACAAACATTGACATTTAACAGTCCAACAAAAGTAGGCAACTAGCCATCTAATTAAGCAAATCAACATTAAAATTGAAGCCTCCATCTCCATCTCCAAATTACAAGCCCAATAGGCCACATATAGGCTTGGTTAAACAGGCCCAAAAAACAGAGCAACCAAACTAGTCGTCCCTGTCCTAGTCGGACGATTAATCGCGATTACTCTTCGATTAATCGGACGACCAGCTTTCTGATCGAGCTGGTCGCCTCGGTACCCCAAATCGGTCACTAAGGACCGATAAGGATGATTAGTCACGATTAATCATGATTAATCGGACGACTTGAAAACATTGATCCTCAGGGTGGAGAAGGAATGCCAGGCGAACCAGCTCCGGCCTGAGCGTCAATGGTTTCCCTCTTCATGACAAGGAGATGGCGGATTTGCTTAGCTGCCAATGGCCTCCTGGGAGTCTCAAGCCCGGAAGATATTGGTATGATAAGGAATCAGGATTGTGGGGAAAGGTAATTTGCGACGAGAGCACCATTTCATGCAACCTCAGCAGCCTATTCTGATGATAACGTTCTGTTTCTGCTGATATATGTCTGTAGGAAGGTGAAAAGCCAGACAGGATTATTAGCACTAACCTCAACTTTAACGGAAAGCTTCAGCCTGATGCTAGTAACGGCAACGCTCAAGTTTTCATTAATGGACGGGAAATTACAAAGATTGAACTGAGAATTCTAAAGGTGTTAATTTTTCCTTACCATTGGTTTTTTATGAATATGATTGAGTAATGTTTTTAAGGCGTCGCTTTGGCGTCGCCTAATCGGCAAGGCGCTATAGGTGGGACGACTTGATGGACGACTCGCCTCAGATTGGTATGGCGTCCGCCTTACTACCATGGCGTCTGGAAGTCGTCGATTTGGCGTCCGATTCGTCGAAATCGAGCAAGGCGGGCGCCATACGGGGATGGCCACGGTAGGAAAACGCGGGCGCAGGAGAAACAGAGCGCGCCGGAGGGAGAGAGAGCGGGCGCGCACGAGATTCACCAGCAGGAGAAGGGGTGCGCAGGAGAAACAGAGCGCGCCGGAGGGAGAGAGAGCGGGCGCGCAGGAGATTCACCAGCAGGAAAGCGGGAGGGAAACCAGAAGCCACAGCTCGCCCGTGCGGACGCGTTCTCCCGCGCCGACGGGAGAAGTTGCTGCCCGCCCGCCGCCGAGCCGTGCGTCCGCCTGTGCGGGCTGCGACCATGTTCCCCCAATCGGCGCTGACTTGCAACATCTTGCCTCCTCTGTTCCTCCATCGAGCTGCAGCGTCCAAAGCCCTTCTGTTCCTCCGTCTATCAAGCAAGAAGAGCAGCACATCTGGAGGAGAGAGGGAAGCAAGAGACAGAGAGGGGCGGAGGCGGAGCGGCATTGGAGAACGAGAGAGAGAGAGAGAGAGAGAGAGAGGTGCGGCGGCGCTGGAGAAAGAGGATTGGGAGTTCGAGAGATGAAGCAGGAAGGTCAAAGGTGAGGGGTATATGGGCTGCCTGGTGGGCTGGGCCAGACTACTTGCTCCTTCTCCTTTCTTTTTCCTTTTTCCTTTTTGTTTTTCTTCATTATCTACCACTCTAAGCTGCTCTTTTAAGATTCCCTTAAGATGTTAAGGCGTCGCCTCGCCTCACGCCTTAGTCGCTTAAGCGTAAGGCGGTAGTCAGTCGCCACGCCTCGCCTTACCGCCTTGAAAACATTGTGATTGAGAGTTGCTATTAAATGTACATTGTAGTTCTGCTGTGTTGCTCCTCTAACCGAATCGTTCACAATCACCATCTTTCATGCAGATTGCAAAAGTCCAATGCCCCCGTGATACTCACTTTTGGGTTTACCATGATGGCGGCTACGAGGAAGAAGGGCAAAACAACATCAAAGGGAAAATATGGGAGTCAGTATGTATCTTGGTCAAACATTCCTTTTTTTTTTCTAAATATTGTACGTTTTTTAAAATTAACGTGTATTGTCGTTTTGTTATTTTTAGCATGACTTGTTCATTCTCTTCTTTTAACAGCCTTTGACACGTTTTGCGTGCGCCTTGGTTTCACTACCGGTGCCTCCTACAAACTTTGATGCGACAAAAGATGAAGCCCCTTATTCATCAAGAACTGTACCTGACTACTTAGATCATAAAAGAATACAAAAGCTTCTTATTCTTGGATCACCTGGAGCTGGAACAAGCACCATATTTAAGCAGGTCTCACCAAAATTTACATCCATAACGCTTTCAGTTTCCCTATATGTTTCTGCAGCGTAGTGGCAAGGTGCCACGTGACATCACTTATAGGTTATAGCAGCATGGATCACTCTTCTATAGCTAGCTATTTAGAACCTTGGACGGACTCCAGATTTGTCATCAATTCTTCTATGAAACTCAGCTGAAAGTTTATTAATAAAGTTTGTCTGTTCAAGTAGTCCCAAATTCTGGTAAAGTAGAAGCCCTTTGACTATTTTGGAGTGTCTGTTTCTGCAGTACTCCATAAAAACCTTACGCAAACTAGGTCTTATATACATTTATGTTTGGTAAAATCAACACTTTGAATCTTGGCTGTCAAAAAAGTTTGAGCAACAAAACAACAAAAGGGGCTCTCTTCAGGAAATTCCTATATGCTTTCTATAAAAGCCATTATTACCTGTCAAAAAGGAGTCCCTTGTTTTGATAGTGTGAAAATACTATTATTGTTTTGGAGTGTCGATTTGTGTGGTTAAACACTGAAATCTTCTTTAAGATAGTGCTGATATATGTCTATGTGTCTAGTTTAGTAATTGTACATGCATCTAGATTTTAAATGAGAAGTGGCGCCATTTGAGTTCATATGCTGTTCACCTTAATGATTTATACTGTATACATTTGCATGACATTTGATTTACATAACATGCTAAATTATCATTTATCTTGTATACATTTGCTTGACATTTGGTTTACATAACAGGCTAAGTTGTTATACGGCAATAGATTTACCGAGGAGGAACTTGAGAATATCAAATTAATGATCCAAAGCAACATGTTCAAGTACCTGGGGATTCTGCTCGAGGGCCGTGAACGCTTTGAGGAAGAGGCTTTGGCTGTATCAAATCACCCAAGCTCAGAGGGCGATGATTCTCAGCAAGGTATCAGGACAGCTGATACTTGTTCTGCTATTTTTTTTTCAGGAGCTTATGCTGTATATTAAGTTGGTCTTTTCGATGCAGATGAAAGTACATCTTCAAGTTCTAATTCTTGCATCTACTCGATAAATGCAAAGCTGAAGAAGTTTTCTGATTGGCTTCTGGACATCATTGCAATGGGAGACCTAGATGCATTCTTTCCTGCAGCTACCCGTGAATATGCTCTAGTTGTTGATGAGCTGTGGAAAGATCCTGCCATTCAAGCAACATATAAAAGAAAGGATGAATTGCATTTTCTCCCAGATGCTGCTGAGTATTTCTTGAGCAGGGTATAAATCAAGCGTTTAACTTCAATTGATGCAGCCCATTTCTGTCATGTGGGGCCCTCGACTACGGAGCTCGTAGTCTCTTGCCGTCGTCGTCTAGGGCTGAGGTTTTGCCCCTCGGCCGGCTAGGCTTAGTTGGAGAAGGGAGAGAGAGAGATTAGATAGATAATAACTTGCTTAACTCCCACGGTTCAGGTTTGCACAAGTAATATAGCCATGCGGCAGCAACAAAGCTAACAATAGAGTCCTATAATTAAGGGATACAATCTGATCTTCTTGCCTTCTATCCACTTTCCGGTTCGGAGTTTGCCTCGCTTGCACCCGCCGCCTGGTCTTGCGCGCGCTCTGCGGCTCTCCTCACGTCGCGGGCACGGCGTGTCCTTGAGTATGTGCGGCCCCACATGACATCTCCCCCCCTCAAGGATCAGCTCGTCCTCGAGCTGAAATGCCGGGTATTTGTCGCGGAAGACGTCAAGATCCTCCCAGGTAGCCGAAGCCGCAGACTGGCCCTTCCAGTGGACAAGCACCTGGCGAACGCCGCGCGCCAAGCGAGCCCGCACGACTCGATCAGGTTCCGGAACGATGGCGCCATGGTGGATGGCCGGCAGCGGAGGAGGCGCCTCCGGAGGCAGCCCAACGAACTTCTTGAGTAGCCCGACGTGGAAAACGTCGTGCAGCCTAGCGCGTGGGGGAAGCGCCAAGCGCACCGCGACGTCGTTGATCAGCTCGGTGATGCAGTAGGGCCCGAAGAAGCGCGCCTTCAGCTTCCCGGTGGTCACCTGGGACACGCTCACCGCGGCCGTCAAAACCCTGCAGGCCTCCGTCGAGGCCAACTCCAAGGCGATCCAATTCCTGTCCTTCGAGCGTTCGTCCTCATTGGGCACCAAGCCTAGGTCCGGCGAACACCACAACGACCGGCCGCCGAAGTTCCAGAAGATGGACTTTCCGCGCTATGATGGGAAGTCCGATCCGCTGATCTTCATCAATCGTTGTGAATCCTACTTCCATCAGCAGCGAATCATGGAGGAGGAAAAGGTATGGATGGCTTCCTACATTCTGGAGGAGGGCGCACAGCTGTGGTACATGCAGGTCCAGACCGACGAAGGGACCCCCTCCTGGCGCCGATTCACCTATCTGCTGAATTTGCGCTACAGGCCGCCATTGAGGTCTGCCCCCCCCCCCTCTTCTAGTTGGCCGATTGCCGGCGCACGAGCACCGTCGCGGAATATCAAGACTGGTTCCAGGCGCTCCTGACCCGCGCTGGCCCTCTCGATGAAGCCCAGCGGGTCCAACTGTTCACCGGCGGCCTCCTTCCGCCGCTCAGCATGGACGTCCGGATCCAGAATCCGCAAACCTTGGCGGCCTCCATGAGTCTCGCCAGGCAGATGGAGCTACGGGAACAGTACACGACGCCCCCGGCCAAGGCCGCTACTCGGCCTCTTCTGCCGGCACCGCCACCACGGCTAGCCCTGCCGGCACCGTCGGGCGCCAAGCCGGCCACACCAGCCACCATCACCGTGGAGGGCCGCCAGATCAAACGCCTTACTCAGGCGGAGCAGGAGGAGCGACGTCGCCTGGGCCTCTGCTACAACTGTGACGAGAGGTTCACCAGGGGCCACAACCGGGTGTGCAAGCACCTCTTCCTCCTTGATGGCATCATGGAAGATGAGGAGGCCGAGTCAGCGGAGGCTCCAGGGGATGACACCACGGCTGAGGAGACGCCCCAATTCTCCCTGCACGCCATCGCTGGTGTGGCCTTCAGCGACACAATGCAGATCTGGGTCGCCCTGGGCGACGTGACCCTCACCACCCTCCTCGACTCGGGGTCCACACACAACTTCATCTCTGAGGATGCCGCCCTCCGCTCTAGGCTGCCTGTCCACCACCGGCCGCGCCTCATGGCTACGGTGGCCAATGGAAAACGCGTCGCGTGCGTCGGCGTTCTTCGCCACGCCCCGCTGTCCATCCACGGCGACACGTTGTACGTCGACCTCTTTGTCATGCCGCTCACGGGCTACGATGTGGTGCTGGGCACTCAGTGGCTCGCTACCTTGGGGCCGATTGTGTGGGACTTCAGCTCCCGCAAGATGTCCTTCCAACGCCATGCCCGCGTAGTGTGCTGGCACGCACTCGCCGGTCCGGCGGCCCCTGCCCTGCGTGCAACAGCGGCCAGCAGCTCGTTGTTGGAGGAGCTTCTGGACACCTTCTCTAATGTCTTAGCCGAGCCTCGCGGGCTCCCTCCTCCGCGCAGCCGCGACCACAGCATCACCTTGGTGCCAGGGGCGCAGCCCGTGGCAGTCCGGCCGTACCGTTATCCGGCCTTGCACAAGGACGAATTGGAACGCTAGTGTGCCGTGATGATTGACCAAGGGCTCATCTGCTGGAGCTCGTCCGCGTTCTCGTCTCCAGTCCTCCTCGTCAAGAAGGCTGATGAGTCTTGGAGATTCTGCGTCGACTACCGCGCTTTGAATGCCATCACCGTCAAAGACGCGTTTCCCATTCCCGTCGTCGACGAACTTCTGGATGAGCTCCATGGCACCAAGTTCTTTACTAAGCTCGATTTGCGATCGGGCTATCATCAGGTCCGCATGACGCCGACCGACATCGCCAAGACTGCGTTCCGCACCCACCACGGCCTTTACGAGTTTTTGGTGATGCGGTTCGGGCTATGCAATGCCCCGGCGACATTCCAGGCGCTTATGAACGACGTGCTGCGACCCTTCCTCCGTCGGTTTGTGCTTGTATTTTTTGACGACATTCTCATCTACAGCACATCCTGGGCGGATCATCTCCGGCTTCTTCGCGTCGTCCTCGCCATGCTTCGCCCACATCGCCTCTTCGTCAAAGCGTTCAAAGTGCGCTTTCGGCGTCGGCTCCGTCTCCTACCTCGGCCATGTCATCTCCGAGGCGGGCGTGGCCATGGATCCGGCCAAGGTCCAGGCGATCCACGACTGGCCCCAGCCCCGTTCGGCCCGCGCCGTGCGTGGTTTCCTCGGTCTGGCGAGGTACTACCGCAAATTCGTCCTCAACTACGGCGCCATCGCTGCCCCTCTCACTGCCCTCCTGAAGAAAGAGGGGTTCAGCTGGAACGACGACGCCGCAGCTGCCTTCACCGCGCTCAAGGCAGCGGTCACATCGACCCCTGTGCTGGCGCTTCCTGACTTCACCAAGCTGTTCGTCGTCAAGTGTGATGCGTCTACGCATGTGTTTGGTGCGGTGTTGCTCCAAGACAACCACCCAATCGCGTACTTCAGCCGCCCCGTCGCGCCCCGTCATCGCTCCCTGGCCGCATACGAGCGGGAGCTCATCGGCCTTGTTCGCGCCATCCGGCATTGGTGCCTGTACTTGTGGGGATGTCACTTCCTGGTGCGCACCGATCAATTCAGCCTCAAGTACCTCCTCGACCAACGGCTCGCGACCATTCCACAGCACCACTGGGTCAACAAGTTGCTGGGCTTCGACTTCACTGTCGAATACAAGCCGGGAGCGACGAACACGGTGGCCGACGCGCTATCATGTCGCGACACCGCCGAGGGCGCGATCTTGGCCATATCAGCACCTCGCTTCAACTTCATCATCCGGCTACGTCAAGCGCAAACCACCGATCCCGCCCTCGTCGCTCTCCAGGAGGAGGTTCGCGCGGGCACCCGAGCCTCACCGTGGGCCTTGCTCGACGGTATGGTCATGTTTGATGGTCGCCTGTACATCCCACCGGCATCGCCATTGTTGCAGGAGATTTTGGCTGCCACTCACAATGAAGGCCATGAAGGCGTCCAGCGCACCATGCACTGACTCCGCCGCGACTTCCACTTCCCCAACCTGCGGCGTCTGGTATAGGACTTCGTTCGCGCTTGTGCCACCTGTCAGCGCTACAAGTCCGAGCACCTGCAGCCGGCTGGACTCCTTTTGCCGCTACTAGTGCCTACGGCGGTCTGGACGAACATCGGCCTCGACTTCATCGAAGCACTACCGTGCGTCAAGGGCAAGTCGGTTATCCTCTCGGTGGTCGACCGCTTTAGCAAGTACTGCCACTTCATCCCCTTGGAGCACCCGTACACCGCCGAGTCCGTCGCGCAAGCTTTCTTCGCCGACATCGTTCGCCTACATGGAGTGCCGCAGTCCATGGTGTCCGACCGCGACCCGGTCTTCACTTCGGCGTTTTGGCGTGAGCTCATGCGCCTCATGGGGGCCAAGCTGCACATGACGTCGGTGTTCCACCCCTAGTCTGATGGCCAGACGGAGGCGGCCAACCGCGTCATCGTGATGTACCTGCGCTGCTTCACCGGCGACCGCCTACGTCAGTGGCTCCGCTGGCTTCCTTGGGCCGAGTATGTCTACAATACGGCGTACCAGTCGTCGCTCTGGGAGACGCCATTTCGCGTGGTTTACGACCGCGACCCGGCTACAATTCGTTCTTATGAGCCGGGTGACACGCGCGTGGCTGCAGTTGCTCAGAACATGGAAGATCGTGATGCCTTCCTCGCTGATGTGCGCTACCGGCTTGAGCAGGCGCAACAAGTCCAGAAGCGGCACTACGACAGGTTCCACCGCCCTGTCTCCTATCAGGTCGGGGATTGGGTCCTGCTCCGCATCCGCCAACGTCCTGCGGCGTCCATCTCCCAGGTGACCACCGGGAAGCTGAAGTCGCGCTTCTTCGGGCCCTACCGCATCACCGAGCTGATCAACGACGTCGCGGTGCGCTTGGCGCTTCCCCCATGCGCTAGGCTGCACGACGTTTTCCACGTTGGGCTACTCAAGAAGTTCGTTGGGCTGCCTCCGGAGGCGCCTCCTCCGCTGCTGGCCATCCACCATGGCGCCATCGTTCTGGAACCTGATCGAGTCGTGCGGGCTCGCTTGGCGCACGGCGTTCGCCAGGTGCTTGTCCACTGGAAGGGCCAGTCTGCGGCTTCGGCTACCTAGGAGGATCTTGACGTCTTCCGCGACAAATACCCGGCATTTTAGCTCGAGGACGAGCTGATCCTTGAGGTGGGGAGAGATGTCATGTGGGGCCACACATACTCAAGGACACGCCGTGCCCGCGACGTGAGGAGAGCCGCAGAGCGCGCGCAAGACCAGGCGGCGGGCGCAAGCGAAGCAAACTCCGAACCGGAAAGTGGATAGAAGGCAAGAAGATCAGATTGTATCCCTTAATTATAGGACTCTATTGTTAGCTTTGTTGCTGCCGCATGGCTATATTACTTGTGTAAACCTGAACCGTGGGAGTTAAGCAAGTTATTATCCATCTAATCTCTCTCTCTCTCCCTTCTCCAACTAAGCCTAGCCGGCCGAGGGGCAAAACCTCAGCCCTAGACGACGACGGCAAGAGACTACGAGCTCCGTAGTCGAGGGCCAGCTACCCTAGGACACGACGCCCTTGACAATTTCATTGCTGATAACTTGCAATTAAGTACAGAGTTACCCTTGATGTATCTTGTTGACGACTTGCATTTCATAGATTCTACTAGATCATCACTCCATATTATGACTGTTACTCTACTAGTGAATCCCTTTACCCACTAGTAATAAAAAAAGGACGTACCCAGTGCTGAGAGCATCCTGCATTGTGCGGGGTCTGGGGAAGGGTATTAGCAGCCAGCCTTACCCTTGCGATGTGCAAATGCAAGGAGGCTGTGGCTCAAACCCAGGACCTTCTCTTTACCCACTAGTAATATTGTTGCTAATTTGCCTAGGGTATATCTTTGAAATTTAGGGAAATGGAATTGATGGTCCGCAGGTTTTGAATCATTTCAGAAACTTTATGTTTCCAGATTTTGCTGGCCTTCCCTCATTTGCAAACAATGATCTTCGGCTCCATGCTAACTGGATCTGCTGCTACTTATTTTTTTGCCTCCACTGTTATGGTATTTGATTACCTAAATTGACCTGTCCATGGTATGACAAATCCATGCAGGCTATTGAAGTATCAAGTAATGAATACGAACCGTCAGAGAAAGATGTGATATACGCTGAAGGAGTAACACAAGGGAATGGATTGGCCTTCATTGATTTCACTTTGGATGACCGGAGCCCTATGTCAGAACCCTTCGGTGACAATCATGATGCATACTCTCAACCAGTAAACAAGTAAAGTCTATCTTCATGCTCATGTCTAAAGCACATTGATACTGGGCTTCTTTCTTGTATCTTGTAGTCGTTTTGATGTGTTGGTATTGTGGAATCATATCTCTTGCTACTTTCTTAATTCAATAGCATAGTATGCAGGTTGCATTTTCTTTCCTCTCTTCATCTGTCAAATTCTTTCTCCTTGGTTGTCTCATCTGCTTCTATCTTCTCTCAGATACCAGCTGATTAGAGTAGGCATGAATGAGGGCTGCAAGTGGGTGGAAATGTTTGAGGATGTTAGCATGGTGATCTTCTCCGTAGCGCTCAGCGATTATGACGAGCTTGGAGCACCAGCGAGCGGCAGTAGTAGGACACTCATGAATATGATGATTCAAAGCAGGGACTTGTTTGAGGCTACGATCAGGTACAAGAACCTGTTCTTAGAATTAGTTGAGCTCGATTCCAGTATATATCAACTTAAGTTACTGAACCATATATATATATATACATTTACTTCCTACTATATACAGACAGCCGTGCTTCCGCGACACGCCGTTCGTGCTGGTGCTGAACAAGTACGACCTGTTCGAGGAGAAGATCGGTCGGTCGCCGCTGTCGTCGTGCGACGGTGCGAGTGGTTCAGCGACTTCTGCCCGCTTTGGACGCACCACAACAACCAGTCGCTGGCGCAGCAGGCGTTCTACTACGTGGCCATGAGGTTCAAGGACCTGTACGCGGCGAGCACGGGGCGGAAGCTGTTCGTGTGGCAGGCGCGCGCCCGCGACCGCCCCACCGTCGACGAGGCCTTCCGCTACATCCGGGAGGTGCTCCGGTGGGAGGACGAGCGCGACGCCGCCGGCTACTGCCCCGAGGAGTCCTTCTACAGCACCACCGAGCTCAGCTCGTCCTGCCTCATCGCCGCCGCAGAGTGATCTGACATGTGTATAGCTGTTGGTGTTGGTTCATATGCTGTTCACCTTAATGATTTATACTGTATACATTTGCATGACATTTGATTTACATAACAGGCTAAATTATCATTTATCTTGTATACATTTGCATGACATTTGGTTTACATAACAGGCTAAGTTGTTATACGGCAATAGATTTACCGAGGAGGAACTTGAGAATATCAAATTAATGATCCAAAGCAACATGTTCAAGTACCTGGGGATTCTGCTCGAGGGCCGTGAACGCTTTGAGGAAGAGGCTTTGGCTGTATAAAATCACCCAAGCTCAGAGGGCGATGATTCTCAGCAAGGTATCAGGACAGCTGATACTTGTTCTGCTATTTTTTTTTTTCAGGAGCTTATGCTGTATATTAAGTTGGTCTTTTCGATGCAGATGAAAGTACATCTTCAAGTTCTAATTCTTGCATCTACTCGATAAATGCAAAGCTGAAGAAGTTTTATGATTGGCTTCTGGACATCATTGCAATGGGAGACCTAGATGCATTCTTTCCTGCAGCTACCCGTGAATATGCTCCAGTTGTTGATGAGCTGTGGAAAGATCCTGCCATTCAAGCAACATATAAAAGAAAGGATGAATTGCATTTTCTCCCGGATGCTGCTGGGTATTTCTTGAGCAGGGTATAAATCAAGCGTTTAACTTAAATTGACACTACAGGAGACTCGTGCGCTTTGCACTCGGTAAAGCCTTTGCCGAGTGCTGCACTCGGCAAAGAGCTGTCGGCATATCCCTTCATGGCAAAGGCTTCTTTGCCGAGTGCCGCATGTCAGGCACTCGGCAAAGGATTTCCCGAGTGCCACAACGGCGCTCGGCAAAGAAAAACCGCCGTGACGACCAGGTCACGGTGACGGCCCCTTTGCCGAGTGCCACGGTCGGCACTCGGCAAAGAAGTGTGGTTTTTATTTTTTTTAAAAAAAATTCTTTGCCGAGTGCTTGTTTCTGGCACTCGGCAAAGCTTGTTTTTTTTTTTGGATTTTCTTTGCCGCCTTGACCATGGCACTCGGCAAAGCTGGGAAGCTTGGTGTCGCAGATTCCCAGCTTTGCCGAGTGTCATGGTCATGACACTCGGCAAAGAAGTGAAAAAATTCAAATTTTTTTTTGGGGTTTAGTCTTCCATCGTTGCAAACAAGATATACATCATATATATATATATATATATATATATATATATATATATATAATACAAATGTATATCACAATCCACCACAAACATAAACATAACATACAAGTATCACAATCTCGACTCCCAAGTTTAAAGTCCAAACACACAAGCATAGTTCACAAAGTTCACAAGTGCATTATATCACAACGGCTGCCATTTGAAGCTCACGGCGATGGTCCGAGTTGGGATGGCCCAAAGTGCGATCCCGGCGACCCTCCGAGGTGGTTCGACGCCGCCCCCGATTGATGCTGCACAAAATAGAAGAGATTGCACGTGAGCGACAAGAGAAGAGATAAATATGCAAGATAAATATCCGTCGCCACCACCACCACCACCACATCACCGTCATCACCAACACTTCACCACCACCACATCACCACCATGACCACCACCACCACCACCATGAGCACCACAACACCGTGACCACCAACACCACACCACCACCACCACCATGACCACCACCACCAACACCACACCACCACCACCACCACCATGACCACCACACCACCACCACCACCACTAGGTTTCACTAGGTTTCTCTAAGTTTCAGCATAGAAAGTAAAACTTCATACTTATACTCACCGGGGTAGAATCAGGATATTGTGGAGGTGGATCTGGAGCAAGCAGCGTCTGTGGGATCGCCCAACCTTGTTGCTAGCCAATTTGCTGCATGAACTTGATCATCTCGGTCATCTGCCGCTGATCTTGCTCCCGCTGGGCCTCCAAAGTCTGTAGCCTCTGCCGCTCGGCCTCCCGCTCGGCCTACAGTTCCTGCACCTGGGCCTGCAACATTTGACCCCAATGTTTCAATAATGCATAGGTAAGGTATGTAAAAGTCAAAGAACGACGAATGAAACAGGAATGCTTACTTGGAGTGCCGACACCGCGGTCGGCCATTGGCATATGGGCACGCTTGAGCTCGTGCTCGCTGCTCGGAGCTGGTGGAGAGGAGGAGTAGAGGCCGTGTCGAGGACGCCGTCGCCAATCCAGAACCGTCCATGCTTCTTGCCTTGCCCCACCCTCATCACGAGCTCAGGATCAAGGCGCTCCTCGGTTCTCGTATCATAGCCCGACCTATGGACTGACCTTGTCGCCTCCGTATACGAAGAGAGGCGGGTGTGGACGCTGGAGTTGGTGTATGCCTCAAGCGGGGCATCTGGGTCGTACTCGATGTCGGCCGTCGCCTTGCCCATGTGAGCCAGAGCATATGCCTTGAGTTGACCAACTGGCTGGCCACAGTGTGCATCCGACTACGAGAAAGACAACAACATGTGGTTAGAAATGATGCAGAATTGAGCGCGGCTAGATTAGAGCAATGGCGGAGACTTACATATGCCTTTGCATATTTGCTGAGGCTGCGGTTGCCCTGATGGAGAGGTACACTTGGCATCTGCAAACGCCTGTCGCAGGCCTCCTCGTGCTTCTTCTGCCAGTCCCCGTCCAACCAGGTGTCCACAATATATTCCCAGCAATTGGGGTGGGTGGCGCACCAGCTTGGAATCACCTATAGGACATCAAGTAGACGACATATCAGAAGATCAAATTAGGCATACTTAATCTCAAAAGAAATGAATATTCATGTTTTGTATTTACCTGTATGTACTGCTCCCTTGTCAGCGTCATCTGTCTTGCCTCCTCTTTGTTGACACGCCTGAGTAGGAACTTGGCGTTGTAGTCTATGTGGGCCTAGATGCGGGACTCGTAGTGCAAGTCCGTGACACGCTTTTTATAGGAAGCGTAAGCCACCTGATACGCACTTTCCTCCTGTCCCTCCTGGATTCTGAAGAAGTCCTGCATAAAGACACGTGGTATCCATTATTTTATTTCAAGAATGTCCAATGAATGCGAGGAATTGAGGAATGTAGTGTAAGAAAGACTTACCCACAACTCCCTAATCACCCAATCTGCCTTGTTTCTACAGCGGATGCCATTATGATCTGGAGCATCCTACACGAGGGCATAGTGGTCGAACGTCCAGGCCGGCTCCCAATCCTGATCTCCTTTCCCAACCAGGCCAGGGAAGTGTTCCTTGCACAGAAGTCCCAGGATGCCATTCACATTGCGTGCCGAGGCCGCCTGGTCCACAAACACCCAGTTCCTACACAAGTGGTCCACAATAGTTATTAGTTGTTATTATGATTTTTCAAGAGTAAATTGCACCCTGGGTACTTAAACTATTGGGGCATTACCATCTAGGTACTTGAACTGAAAAAGCTACCACCTAGGTACTTAAACTATTGGGGCATAACATCTGGGTACTCGAACTAAAAAAGCTCCCACTTGGGTACTTAAACTATTGGGGCATTACCATCTGGGTACGCATCTGGGTAATCAAAAATGCATTTTCCCACGCTCCTGGTCACTGTGCAGCGGCGGCGACGGCCCACTCGCGTACCCAGATGGTAATGCCCCAATAGTTTAAGTACCCAAGTGGGAGCTTTTTTAGTTCGAGTACCCAGATGTTATGCCCCAATAGTTTAAGTACCTAGGTGGTAGCTTTTTCAGTTCAAGTACCTACATGGTAATGCCCCAATAGTTTAAGTACCCAGGGTGCAATTTACTCATTTTTCAACATATCAAATGAAGAACATATGAAGTTACTTACTTATCGCCCTCGGGTGCAATCAGTGGGCGCCTCTCAACAGGTATCGATCGCTTCGGGAGCTTTGCGGGACCTCGCTGGTAGGGCTTCGACGTACCAGAGGAAGTGGAACCCCCTATCGTTGCCGCCTCCTCGTCCTCCATCACTGGAACCGCCTCCTCGTCCTCCGTCCGTGGACCCCCGTCCCCGTCCACCGTGTGCTGAAGGTCGTTGTCGTGCACAGAGTCGTGTGAGGAGCTGCGCCCGTGGTCAGTCAACGGCTCCCGCCTGGGCCTGCCTCTCGGCCTCCTCGGCCTCTCTGACGCCTCCACCATGTCCCTCCGGTTGGCGTAAACCGAGGGGCAGCTCCTCCTAGTGGGCCCCATCACCTGCAATTAAAAAGAGTAAACCAGTAAGTACAGATAAATGAGACGTACTTAGTAAGAGATGCAAAATAAAGAAAATGTAATTACAAAATAACATAGTATTACATGTATTTCTAATATTCTTCATGATCGGGATTATCTGGACGATAGGTA